TTGCAAGTCCAAAGCTAGTGAAAGTGCGTGAGCACACACACACACACACACACACACCCGAGAACTGCACCCCTCCTCTCCATTGCAGGGGTGCGATGCTCTGCAGGTCTCAATGCTTGGTGGGGGTTGTGTGGCCTCCACCCCACATGTGTGAAGCAGGACTCCACTGGGGTTTCAAAGCTGTAATTTTCAAAAGCAGATTGCCAGGCCTGTCTTCTGAAGTCCCTGTTGATGGGTTTGAACTGCCAACCTTTCAGCTAGTGTTGGAGTGCTTGAACTGTCTTTGCCGTTTAGGAGCTAATGGAGCTTTCCAGGACAGAGCAAGCATCTATAAAAACAGCGGATGCAAAAACACTTCCATCTTCAGCAAGGGCTTCAAACAAAGCTTGGATCGTCCACTGGGCCCCAATGAGGGAGGAAGGGCTGCTCTGGAGAGAGGACTCTGGATTCTCTGGCTTGCTAGCTGCTCTCCTATCTTTGGGGAGGATGATTCATGCCTTAATTCCTTTTTCCTCTCAGCTTACCTTGGGTTTTACTTATTTTTATCCTTGGCATGGAGTTAAGTTGGAAAAAAAAATGTTCTTTCTCCACCTGCAAGGGCCCTCCTGGAAGATGAATTTTAAAGCCTTCAATTTTACAACTTGCTTCCAGCAATAAAGCAGAGGACAGAACATGGGAGAGGAGAGGGTGCCAGCGACAGGGACCCACTAGGGGAGCCTGCGGCCTCAGGGACTCAGAGGCAGTGCAGACTGATGAGGCCGATGTTCTCGGAGTTGATGGTGAGGATACCAGGGCACAGTGAGCAGAGCATGGATGGTCAGCTATGGCACCACACGCCTCTCCTACAACCCTGCAAAGCAGCACCTGCAAAGGGTTCTGCGGTTTTGTCAGGAATGATCAGTCTCTGGGGAAGGACAATGTACTTGGTAAAGTGGAAAGTGAGAGAAAAAGAGGACCCCACCCCCAGTGAGATGGACTCCAACATAGTGGCTGTGGCAACGGGCTTAAGCAGGGCAGCAACTGTGAGGCTGGTACAGGGTTCTGGGCTGCTGTACACAGTGTCACTATGGATCAGAGCCAGACTCAACAGCACCTGACGATGGCAACAGCATACACAGTCCCTCATTTTGCTCACAAACTTCAGTTTTTCTCTAGGAATTGCTGTTCATCCATTGCATGGGGGTCTGGGTGTTCTATCCCTTAAGATGGTCCATGCTCTTCTTAGCTGTAAGTGGGCCCATGCCCTGAGCTGGACCTATACTTCCTGAAAGAGAGACAGTAGAACCTGGAAACATTTGGGTTGATCCATCCTGATGGTGATGCCTGAGGGGCTCCCCCCACTTCTAGCAAGATGGATACTGGCCACACCCTCAACCTAGTCAATCTTGAGATCTGGCTGTTTATTTTCCCACACAATTCTACGTGCAATTCTCACTCAATCATCTGCTTAAGTTAGGCTCTCTGGTTTCTATATGGAGCTCTGATGGTGTATCGGCAGAAGGCTGCACTGCAATCCCAAAGGCACACAGCTTGAATCTACCAGCTGCCTTGTGGGAGAAGGATGGGCAATCTCCTCCTAAGTGATTTACTGTTGGAGGGTCAGGCTCAGAGTCGGTTCTGATACATAACAACACTTCTCTATGACCAAGAATTCAAACTGACACCAACTCAAACCCCAAATCCACAGCTGTTGTTGCTGTTACGTGCCATGAGTTGAGTATGACACACAGTGACCCTATGAGTAACAGATCTGAAGCCTGTTCTATCCTGTGCCATCTTCACACTGCCTGACGCATTAAAGCCCAGTCACTGTGTCAACCCACCTGGTTGAGGGTCTTCCTCTCCTTCACTGACCCTCCACCCTTCCCAACATTATGTTCCTCTCCAAGGAACAGCCCGTCCTAGCAACATGCCCGAAGAATGTGAGGCAGAGCCTCCAAAGAGCACTCCGGCTGCACCCCCTTCAACACATATCTGTTTGTTCTCTTGCCCATCCACAGGATGTTCAGTGCTCTTCTATCGTCCTTATTGTTGTTTCGCTCTCAGATGCATAGTAAGTGATCAAGAGACCATAGCCTGAAACAGAAGCATCTTAGTCTCAAACCGACATCATTACTCCTCAATAACTTGGAGAGGTCTCTAACTGCAGAATTCCCCAGTGCAACCCATCTCCTGATTTCTTGACTTTTGGTACCAAGGGTATTAATCGTAGATCCAAGTAAGAAGTTGTTGACAGTTTCAATCTTTCTTCCATCTATCATGATGTTACCTATCAGTCCAATGGTATATTTGTTTCCTTGACATAAAACCCCCACAGTGGACGGCTTAAACAGCTGATCTTTAGATTATTGAATACTTCTACCCACAGCACCACCAGGACTCCTGACACCAACCCAAACGCCCAGTAATAGGACCAAGATCGCTCAAGTCTGAGACAGTGCCTAATGGAATACCCCCAACCAGACACAGTGATGAGAAAATGCATATTCACTGACAGGGAAAGATGTCCACAACAGTTAAGTGGAAAGCAGGTTATAAAAGAATGTGCCTCGAATGATACCATGCTTGTGAAACATATATTCTATACACTCAGAATGTCAGTCTAAAGACTAAGGTGGGTTTGATCCAAAACATGGTCTTTTCAATTACTTGCTATGCATCTGAAAGTTGCACAGTGAATAAGGATGACAGAAGAATCAATGCCTTTGAGTTGTGTTGACAAAGAGTACTAAATACCCCATAGGCTGCCAAACAACAAACAAGTACATCTTGGAGAAAGTGAAACCAGAGTGTTCCTTGGAGCCGAGGCTGGTGAAGCTTTATCTCACACACTTTGTTGTTTGGAGAAGCCAGTCCTTAGGAAAAGACATCATGCTGCAAAGGGTGAAGGGTCAGAGGAGACCCTCAGGGAGGAAGACAGACACAGGGGCTGTAACAATGGGCTCAATTATATCAGATATAGTGAGGCTAGCACATTGGTTCGGATCCATTGTTCAAAGGCTGTTAGTAGGGTTGCTATGAGTTGCACAGAACACAGCAGAATTCATTCTGGAGGGTAGGACGGTGAATATTCTTTCTGCTTATCTTTATGTTCTAATTTTGCTGCAATATTTGCATGGTGAGTTTTCCTTCCTTTTTTTAAAAAAATGGGCACAGGTGCGTTGCCGGAACCACATTTTTTGATGTCTATCAGCAGTGAAACGATTTGCTGGACTTACCGACCACATCGCAGGGGTCCTGCCCCACGGCCACTCACCTGTACCTCTCTGACTTTCTGCTCAAGGAGATGCTCAACATACGCATCTTCGGGATGAGGATGGAGCCCTTCCCAGAGCCCCCTGCCCCAGGCTCACCCCATCATTCTCATGGTGACCTCATAAGTAGAGTTTCTCCCTTCTCTTGTGGAAAAGAGGGACTCAGAGGAGAGAGACCGCCTGCTCAGAGACACACTGTGGCATTTAAAGCCAGGTCTCCTGGCCCAGAGTGTCCATGATGCAGGGTCCTCGGGTTGATGACCAGAACACACCTGAAGCGGGAGAGCACAGGGAAAGGCTCCAGGCTATTTCACGAGTACAGTCATGTGAACCTGCTGCAGAGGATGTAAGGACGAGGGGAGGACAAGCCTTCATGCTGTGTTGGGCCCTGAACTCTGTGTTCTCTGCCTATGCATTTCAGGGCCCCTTTCAGGGGTGTGCAGGTAACAGTCACAGAGAGAGTGGGAATAGAGCCTGGGTTTGTTTGATGCTTGTCCATCTGGAGGATTCCCTTCCTGCTGCTCCTGCATCCCAGGTGGATGGTCACCTGCCTGCAGCAGCCCTCCCTGACCCGCTCAGGTAGGCTCTGGCTGTGACCACCTCTGCCCCGTGTGTCTTGCAGTGGTTCGTATTACTTACTTGCAGTTACTGCGCTTATCTGTGTCTACAGTCGATTGCGCCTGCCCTGACTGTGCACTCCCTCACAGCTGTATCCTTGGCATGGAGTCCTCATCTGGTACTCACCCATCAAGTATCCGCTCGATGATCAAACTGATGACCAGAGGGGCTGGGGCTGGGGGAGGCTCACTGCAGCCTTCTATTGGCTGTGCAACCTCAGATGAGTTGCTGTCCTTCTCTGAGCCTCCCAAGCCTCAACCTGAATATAAATACAAACTCCACTTAAAGGGCTAGCTCCATACCTCCTGAATATATTATAGCCAATTTAACAAGAAGGTAATGGAAATTGGAGCGACCAATTCCTCGTTTACTAAATTACCCCTTACATCAACCGCTTGTTGGTAATTCTTTCTGTCTAGAACACTGCAGCGGTTTTCCAAGTGTCACTGATGTGCAAAGAGCCCGACTGGGTTTCTTATTCAATAAACTCTTTTATTCTAGTCTACAGATTTTTCCATTACAATAATGAAAATAGTACTAGTGACTCATAATACTTAGACCCAAATCAAAGGGGCGCCCCTCCTCAAATGACAAGATAAATGACAGATAATTGAACATATAGTAAATGCTGGGCAAAAGGCATTTAAAGTATAGAAAACGGGGCCAAGGCTTTGGGTGTGTATGTGCAAATACTTTATGATTTCATTGATCAGGAAGCCACCGTTTTAGAAAGCACATGATTTTTGAAAACTATATTTATAATTGTGATAAAAACCAACTATAGATAAAAGGCGAAATCAAGCAAAACAAAATGAAAGCAAGTGAAGCTAATACATGGGGTCAGAAAGCAAATCTCCGGTCCTTTGGCCCTGGAATGGCAAGTTGAGTGAGTTTCATAGAAATTCTCCGTGGAAGCAACGTCGGGTCTGCTGGAGGTGGCCGCTCTTGACACTGCTTCGTCTCCAAGTCCTTGTCTCCTCATAGAGGAAAAGAGGTTGCATGTCTGGCAGTTCTGCCTGGGTTCTGTCTGGGATGGGGCATACGTTCCCAATCCCTTTGAGAACTGTCCCAAATCCCATAAAGGCAAGGCATGTTTGCAATGGCCCGAGGACCTGTGAGAAGATGGGGTCAGTGTCTGCCCCAGGCCCTGCTGGCACTGTTTGTGTGGTTCACTGGCAGCGGGTGCGCCTCCGTGTTGAACACCCAGTCTTCCAGGGAGAGCACATCATCTTCAGAGAACAGAAGATAGAGATACCTGTGCCCCAGGTAGGGCAGGGAATAAGACACAGGAGTCAGCGCCCTGGCAAAGGTGCACCACTGAGCAGGATTCTTGGAGGTCTCTGCAGTGGGCTGCAGCTAAGGGCACAAGGGGGCCGGGACCTAGAATTGCTTGGTGGGCTGGTCCAAGCAGAGGAGATCGTCGTCACTAAGGAGAACATTGAGTTTTGGGGTCAAACAGACCCAGCTTACTCCTTGTTCTGCCCCTTGTCCCCACTCAATTACCTCATACTTGCTGGCCCAGGCACTTAGCTTATGTGGCTTTGTGTGTGAGCTCTGCCAGGACCCTTTACAGCCTAAATTCTCCTTTCCTTCCAAGAGCGGCCCAAGTGCTGCACTATCCCCATTTCTACCCTGCTCCGTCACATACCTCTGGAAGAGACTCTGCACTTGAATGTATACTGATAGCATTAAACAAAGGAGCTTCCCAGGGCAGGAGAAGTTTCCACTGGAAAGAACCAGCTACTCCTGCCCATCCTAAAGGGTTCAGGACACAAAGGGCTTGCTTTAGGGGGATGGCAAGGAAAAGACATGGTCAAGTTCCATCAGAAAAAAGATGGAGTATTGCAGGAGGGATGCTGCAGAGGCCATTGCTGGCACCAGGACTGGGCCTCGATGCACTGAATTCCTGGAATGCCCTTAGCAGGGACTTCACCCTTCTAACGGTTGTTACTCATTGTTGTTGAGTTGGAACTGACCCACAGCTGACCCTCCAGGGGGTGTTCATCTTTACAAAGACGGGAGGAGACTTCCCATCTTTCTCCCATGGATCAGCTGGTGGATTTGAACCACAAGCTTCTGAGCTGGCAGTACAGCTCCTTTCCACTAAGCCACCAGAGCTAGGTGCCTTTATCATGAGTGGCGTTCTCATTTTTATGACTGAGGAGAAAGTATCAGAAAAATGGAAACAACCTGAGTAAATGGTCTGAAGACTGAAATTCTAAACATCCTATCAGTAATACTTAAGAGTTGGAGCCAACATCCCACCTTTCATCTCTAGGATCACACCCTTGAGGAGAGGAACCTCTCCTGGGTGCGAGGCTCAGTAGGGCACAGCCCTGTGTTCTCCATGTCCCCTTCCTGCTTGCCTGGTCCAGTGTCCCCAAAACCTAACTGGATGAGGCGAGACGCAGCCGACTCACCAGCCTCCAACCTCCCTCCATTCCTAGAAAAGCCCGTGCTCCGCCCTGGGAAGCCCACAGATGAAGCCCCGCTCACTTCAATGTCTCTGCGAGGAAGAAACTCTGCTGCTTGTTGTCGTGGTTGGGCATGCTGCTGTAGACATCCTGGATCCCCGAGAAGCCGCCTTCCGTCCGACAGTATTTCTCCAAGGCCTGCGGGAAAGGAAGGCGGGCTGTAACATGGGAGGGGAGAGGCCTCCAGGACACTGGATTGCCACAGCCTGTGGGCAGCCAGGCCTCTCATGTGCATGGCTGGGGACCCCTGGCATCCAGGGAAGCACTTACTCACTCTTGCTGTGGTGTCAGAACTGACTCACTGCAGAGGCTGTAAATTGTGCCAGGTGGCCTTTCTCTAGAGGACGAGCCATGGAGAGGCCAACAACACAACTCCCCGCAGGCTCAGCCACCTGTACTCCCCCAGGGCTGGCGAGGCCACACTCCTGCTTCCCCCTGAGCACTCAGTACCCCTGAGGTCTGCACCTGGTCTGAATGGAGAGAGTGCGTTTCTTTGGACAAATACACCCCAAGTTGTGGAAGGAGAGGAAGGCAGAGCACTGGTCATGTTCATGGGCTGGAGCTTGGAGAACAGTCTCCAGACACCTCCAGGGTTCTCCGTAGGGACATGGTCCCTCAGCCAGAGGTGAGTGGGTCACCAGGCTGTCTGTATTTCTGTATGTATGTGCAATTTTTACACTGAGGGGATCCACAGTGGGCTTAGGGGCATCAAATACTTTTCCTTCAAAGGTCAAGACCCAAGTCTTCGGAGGCTCAGGCCAAGCCAAAGTTTGTGATCGTGGGGACAAACCTGAACAGGCCCCCAGTGTCCTGCCTGAGCCTAGTCCTGAGGGGGTGCCCCTCTAGAGCTGGCTGTGCCCTGTCATCCAGGAGTTAAGACATGGGGTTAGGGGAGGATAGGGTGACTCAACATCCCTGGAAGGACCCTCTGGAATCCCCACTGCCTTTGACATTTAACCCAAACACGGCCAGGAGAGTTCCTGCCAGGAGTTTAAGGGCTGAAGGAGGGTGGGCCAAGAAGGCTAGTAGAGAAGAGACTGAAGGGTGGGGCTCCGGGAAGTGTCGGGGTGCCGGGGCCAGGACTGGCTTTACGAAGAGGAGGGAGGTGAACTGCAGCCTGGCAGCCAGTTCCTGTTGCAGAGAAGACTTAATCCCGGTTGCCTGGTCCCAGATGCCTCTGCCCAGTTCATAATTCTGGAGCACAACCCTGACCCCACGTGCTGTTACCCACACCCTGATGAGAACTTGGTGTGATGCCTATGAATTCTCAGGGGTGCCTGCCTCCTCATCCACCAGCCCCTGGGCTCACTCACCAATACCACTTCCCAGCCCCACTCCCTGTAGATGGGGTCGTGGGTCTGCCGCCACAGGTACATGTAGCTCTCGACCACCTCGGGCCGCAGTATGTAGTAGCTCTCGCTCAGCTGGGTGGCCATCGCCTCTCTGCCGGAGTTAAACCAGAAGGCCTCGGGGCCCAGCTTGGTATCTGTAGGAATGGCCAAGCAGAGACTGGGTCAGACCTCCCACCTCCTGCTTTCCAGGTTCCAGCTGCTGAGAAGCCCTCCTGGGGTGATGGCTGTGATGAACTGATTAAGGGCAGACCCTGAAGGAAGGCCTGATGAGGCTGCGGTGGGGCGAACACATGCTTCGCCCTTGGCCTAGCCTTGCTAAAGCAAGACCCTTGAGGCTTCAAGAATTTCGTGGTTTTAGACTCTTGAGAATCCAAATGCATTCCGGAAAGACGAATGTTCATGCAGGGTCTCCCAACTCTCTACATTTGAGACACCAGCTCTGTGAGATGTTAACTAGAGTTCAGCTGAGATAGAGTTTAACAACACACTTTTTGGGAACAATGGATTAAACAAAGTGAAATAATATGCAGGACTTATCAGGTCCTTTAATATGCTAATATATAACCTGTTCCTCTACAGATCTCCTTTCTCTGGGAATCATTTTTAACTTCTCCCTGAACCAACATTATCCTTCACAGTTTGGGAAATGACTTGCCCACAAATGCACATCTATGCAGACAGAGGAAGGCTTGCATAAAGAAAGAAGGCCTGCTGACATCCAGCAGGTTTGTTGTTGGTTTTGGACAGCTTGCGCCATTTCTGTTTTCTGGGTGACCTCAATTATCACCACTCTGTAGCCAGGTTTTCAAGTGCTTTCCAGACATTATATATCAAAACTTTAAAAACGTCTTTTGTGCTGAGGTTGATATTGTTATCCCTTTCTCATGCATGTGAAAGCTGAAGATCAGAGATGGTAAGTCATTTGTCCAAGGTAACACAGCGAGTCCCGGGAGAGCTGGGATGTGACCTTGGCTCTGGGGTACCCATTCCCTGGCGTGTGCTCTCTCTATCCCTCCTGAGTCATCTCTGGATTCAACATGCAGTGGGTGGGTCAGATCTGCTTCGCTGAATGCCTGTTTGTCTTATCGAGCTCAGTGTGGGCCAGTTCTGGTCCTAACGGGTATGCCCCTCTTCATTGGGGCTCAAGCCTCTGAAAAGTTCTGGCTCACTTTTCCTCAAGATGGGACTGGAGTTTTGGAGGGCGTCCTATGCTTCTGAGCAGGGCTTCGTGGAAGAGGAATGAGCAAGGCTTTTGGCCCCTCCACCTTCTCAAATGGTGCAGCAGCTTCTGCGCATCAGCAAATAGTGGGTCTGCCAAGCTGCTAATGGGGTGAGGGCAGCAGGCCTGTTGCAGCCGTCCGTGGGACAAGTGGGGCTGGCGGGAACAATATGCTCTATTAAGTGGGCTGTCTTTTATGGTCTGGGCTGATTGTCCCAGACTAATGCAGGCTTTTTATTATTCCTGAGATTTCCTATTTGTTTATGGCCCTGGCAGTGCAAGCTCTTTAAAGGGAATGGAAGAACAGCTTTAAGGACCTCTTTTGAATTGCTGGCTTCCTACAAACAGCTCCAGGAGAATGGGACTGGAGTGCAGCCATCCGAGCTGTCCCTCTGGGGGGCTAGGGGGCTGGATGGTGGTGCCAATAAGTGCCTTTCATGATACTAGTTACAAACAGTGGACCAAGAGCCTTCCTGAAGGGTCCTCCACCTTGCCACAGGAGACCCATGTTACCATGCCCATTGAACAGATGAGAAAACAGAGGCCATCTAGCTGGTGAGTAGCAGAGTGGCATTTAAGCCAGGATTTTAACCGAAAATCTTGGTTTCTCTCTTGTAGCTGCAAATCAGAGCAATAGGCATCCCCTGGAACCACTAGGGTCCAGACATTGTTTTTTTCTGAGGGGTGCTGTTTAGAGAGGCAGCATGTGAGATGGGACTGGACATCAGAAGACCTGCGTTCTAGTCCAGATTCGGCTGCTGACGTGCAGTATGACTTGGAAAGTCACTAGCCCTCCCCACTATAGAATGAGGAGTTGAGTCCATGTTCTCCACTGGGGCTTTGAACTCTGACATTTGTGGATTCTGTAGCACATGCTGGGTGGGGATGACGAAGCAGGCTTAGAGTGTTTGGGTGGTCTTGGATCAAAGGAACAAATAAGGAGGTCCCGGGGACTGGGGCAAATGGTTTGTAAGGCTCTGAAATCAGTGTTTCTGCCTCAGCGACTGGAGACCCTGTCTACTCTGTGCCCCCCACCCCAAACCTTGACCAAGTAACGTCCAAGCCTCAATTCCCTCATCTTTGTTGTGAGACTCAGTGATAACATGTGTCAAGAGTCAGTGTCGGGCTCATACAGCATGCTCAGTACAGCAGCACTGTGTCCCCTATGACTCAGACAACAATCTCAGTGCATACACAGCACGTCCCTCAGTCAAGGTAACTTCCAAGGAGAGTTCCCTTCACTCACTGCTGCTCTGCTGGTCTTTCCAGTTCTTCCTGGTGTCTAGCCTCAGTCTCTCCTGCTGCCCTTTCCCTTGGCAGGGTTACCTGAGCGGGCGTACGATTCGTGGCACGTCTTGGTGATCTGGGCTGCGAGCTCTCGGTAGTGGGCCCTCTTTTCTTTCTTGGCATCCTCAGCGCCAAGTGAGATCATGCCCCCTGAGAAACAGGCCAGGTGCCCCATCTTGTGGTCCAGAACACCCCCTCGCCACTCGGCAATGTAGGTCAGCCCCCCAGGGGAGACATTCAGCAAGTAGGTTTCTATTGCCTGAGAATAAGAAAGAGATGGGGCAGGGAGAGGGACAAAGCGGAGAAAGGGGAGAGGGATGGAGAGGGGAGGGAGGGCAGAAGTGAGTATTGTATAGACAGCAGTCACTTCGGCTAGCCAGCTTCCAGCCCAGGCCCTGCTGTCGGGGGTCCTGACAGTGGCTGCCAGTGGGCTTGCTGCTCGTCTGCTGTCTGTGACCTGCTGGGAAGTTCCCTGGGCAATTCTCTTTTACATTCAGGGTCTTCAGTCTTCAAAAATTATCCTCTATCTCCAGTACAATCTGAGCTAGGGGTCCTTCACCCTAAGTCCAATTGGCCTGTGAATGGGCTTCAGGGGTTCTGGAGAGGCCCTAACTATATGCAGTGCTTCTGTGTATGTAACTTTTTCTGTGGCAAGGATCTGCTTATGTTGTCAGGTTAATGGAAGAATAGCACATGAAGCTCTCCACAGGCACTTTATCATCTGATGCTGTCGATGAGCTGGGAGGGTATAAGGGTGCCTGTTCCAGACCTGCCCCAGTTACCCAACTGGGCCAGGACTAGGGCCTAGACGTGGAGGGCACTGCTTCTTCTGTACCAAACTCAATGACAGAACTCTGCTCTGCTCTGTTGGGAAGCAGCTTTGAGACCCTTCCCTGCTCCTTGGAGGTGATGCTGCGGGCAGAGACCTGGAGTGCTGGGGGTTATGGAGCTGTTAGTCCACTGGATGATCATTCCCTGTTCTTAGTCCAGGGAGGCCTGGAGAGGGCACATGATGGTAGCAGCCAGGCATACTGCCCACAGGACAGATTCTGGGATGGACCATGCGTCCTGGTCCACTGGCTGGGGACCTCTGAGGACCCTTCAGTTTTCTGCTTCGATGGACCTCTGCCCTTCTAGTCTGCCTGCCAAGGGTAAATCTCTCTATTCTGTAACATCACAAATGAGCTTGTGTTTTTCATCTGCTTAGAACTCTCCAATAGTTCCCAAGGATCCTTTGGAGAAAGTTGGCAGGGTTTCTGAGACTATGATCTGTGCCCCAAGGTTTAACCTGATGCTATAAACACAGCTCCTGGGAAGAGACTGTCTGAGTTCAAATCCCATCTTCACCCCTTGCAACTGTTTGATAATGGGCCAGTTATATATTTTCCAGGCCTCAGTTTCCTCATGTATAAAGCAGGAATAAGTTAGTTACCTGCCATCGTGTTGACTACAAGTCAAAGCAATTCTATGAACAACAGACTGGAACCCTGGCCTGTCCCGCACCATCCCTACAATCTCTGATAAGCTCAGGCCCACTGTTGTCAGTGGCCCACTGTTGTCAGTGCATCTCCCTGAGGGGCTTCCTCTCCTTCACTGACCCTTCTCCCTTTCCCAGCATGATGGCATTTTTCCAAAGGACATTTTGAAGAGCTGTGAGGACTGAGGTGTGTCTTCAGAGCTCTGCGTATTTCCCAGCACAGAAAGAACCCTCTATAAATGTTGGCTATCACGACTCCTTTCGTGCCTCTCCCCTGCCTGGCCACATGGCCTCATTTCTTCCATATATTACCCCGCCCCGGCCGCCCTCTTCCATCCACGATTTCGCGAGCCCCTCCCCCATGCCAATGCAGTGTGAGGCACTGACGATGCAGCTGTACCAAAGATGGGCCGGCTCTGGTAAGAACTATAATTTGTGATCAGCATTTTGAATGAAGCAAACTGAAGGCCAGAGAGAGACAAACGGCAGTGGTGGCGGGTCCTACTTTGCAGGGTTGGGTGAGAGAAGGTCTCTGAAGAGGACATTCATGTGTTTGCTCCCTGTCTACCTGACCTGCCAGCGCCGAGGGAGTCCTGGCCCTGAGCCTCCTCTGCCACTGCCTTGGAGAGGCCGCCCCTGCGGCTCTCCGCATCACACCCGGGTGCTGTCTACACGGTGCCCACTCCCTCCTGCTGTATTTCTGTTATGTCTCTCCTAGGACTCTGACAGCAGCCGCCACCAGGCTGGTGCCATGAGGATACTCCAACAACACATGTTCAGCTTTCTCCTTTCCTCTCTTTTCTAAGGGCCTGGGGATGGATGGTGGGTGGTCTAGAGGACCCTCACCAAGAGCAGATGGAAGCTCTGTGATGGGATGTGCCAAGGCATCTGCTCCAAATGAGGACAAGAGTGGGGAGGGGGCTGCTGCCTGGCTGGGCTCTGCTCTGGGCCTTGGCTCCTAAGAAGAGCTGGGTCAGAGGTAGCTGCTGTTTCCTACTAGGCGTGGAGGTGTAGACACCTGACTCAGTCAGAACACAGATGTGGGGTGGGGGTGGGGGTGGGGAATATGAGAGTCCAGCATGCCCCATGCTGAAGCAGGAAGACGGCACCTTCCAGACCATCTCCCACAGAAACGAAATCATTTCCATTTGGGTTTAACCCCAAACCAAGTAATTACGGAAAAAGAAAATTATAGGCCAGTTGCTCTTTGAGGATAAAATGGAGACAAGCAGATGTGCAAGACAAGACTCAAGGATTTCTGGAACTTGAAGCAAAACACGAGACATCAGAGGGTGGCAGCCAGTGAGCAAGAGGCTTAATTCAGAGCAAGAGCCAGTTCACAGAACTGGGCAGGGAGGCAAAGAGCAGGGCTTGAGTCCAGCTCTATAAATGAAGTGCAAGTTATTCCACTTTTCTGACAGTTTATTTTCCTTCTCTAAAAAGTAGAGATAATAATTTTGGGATGGTCCTGAGAATTAACGAACAGAAAATGAGACAGACTACCAGGCTCCACATTCAACATTCTTGGTACCAGTAGCAAAGAAATCAAAAGATGAACTGCATTGGGAAAATCTGCTGTCAGGGACTTCTTCAGGGCACCAAAGAGCAATGATGTCTGTCTAGAGACTAAGGTGTGCCTGATCCAGGCCATGATTGTCACAATTACTTGCTTTGCATCAGAGAGCTGAACAATGATGAAGGATGATAGAAGAAGAATCAATGCTTTTGAGTTGTGGTGCTGGAGAAGAGTACTGAATTTACTATGTACCACTAAGATAACAAACAGGATCATCCTGGAGAGGGTGAAACAAGGCTGCTTCTCGGAAGCAAGGATTTTGAAGCTCTGTCTCATATACTTTGGGTATGTTGCAAGTAGGGACAGTCCTTGGAGAAGGACATTAAACTTGTAAGACTGAAGGGTGGAAAACCCTGCATGAGATGGACTGACTCAGTGACTAGGGTAATGGGGGTAGGTGTGTCAGAGATGATGAAATTGGCTCAGGACAGAGCAGGGTTCAGAGCCGTTGTACTTCGGATTGTTGTGAGTCGGAGTCAACTCGACAGCACAGTAACAACCACCAGGTCTAGTGCTTTAGTAGCCACTCAATGAATACTATCTCCTTTTCCATCTGAGGTGAACTCCGTATGTAAGAACCTCAGGAAGGTTCCTGAGATGAACCAGGCTCTTCTGCAATTGAGCAGCTTATACATGAAAGCAGGGATACTGAATGTGCGGTCAGCCAGACCCAGCTTTACATCCTGGATCAGGGTGATGCTAGGCTTTTTTGAGCCTTAGTTTTATCATCTGTGAAATGAGCATAATAATAAACTTACTCACTACTGCTATATTTGATGCAATGAATACAAAATCTGTTCTTCAACCAAGTCTCGATCATCACAATAGATGGTAAAGAGGCTGATTTCATTTTACTTGGGTCCACATGCAATACCCATGATAACAGCAATCAAGAAATCAAAAGGGGTGCTGCACTGGGAAAATCTGCGGTCAAGAACCTTTCCTAAATGCCTAAGAACAAAGATGTCAGTTTAAAGACTAAGGGATGCCTGATCCAAGCCATGGCATTTTCAGTTGCTTCCTATGGTTCCAATAAGCATGACAGAAGGCTTTATGCCTTTGAATAACTGTGGTATGAAAAAGAGTACTGAATACCAAATATCCCATGGACTGCCACAAGAACAAACAAGTCTGTCTTGGAGGAAGGGCAGCCAAGGGTGCTTTTTAGAGGTAAGGATGGTGAAACACAGTCTCACATGCTTTGGATATGATGTCAGGAGGGGTCAATCAATTCTTGGAAAAAGACAGCAGGCTGGGGAAGGTAGAGGGTGAGAGAAGGAGAGGAAGACCATCAACAGGATGGATGGACAGAGTGACTGCTAACAAGAGGCTCGAGCACCCCAGAGACTACAGGGTCAGGCAAGGTGCAGAGCTGTTGTTCTTAGGATTGGTGGGAGTCACTGTCGACTAGACAGCACCTACTGCTACAACCACCCCAGCACTTGAGCTGATTCTGACCCACAGTAATTCTCCATTGGTTTCTCAAGGTGAGAAATATTAATGAGAGGAAACTGGCTGTCTTCTCCTGTGGAGCTGCTGGCGAGTTTGAACTGCCAGCATTTTGGTTAGCAGACCACCACTTACCCTACTATTCCACCAGGGCTCCTGAACCATACACCTTCTCCTCATTCACTCACTATCTTGCTATATGACATCTCACAAATTTATGACAATGTTAAAAAATCCAGTATCTGACGCTGGTGGCCTAGTGGTGAGAAGCTGCACAGCAATCCGGAAGGGACACAATGCGAGGCCACCAGCTGCTCTGCAGGAGATGGTTGGGCAATCTCCTCCCATGTGACTGCCTTTGAAAACCCGCCAAACGGTCGGCTATGGGTTGGTTCTGACTCTGTGGTACACAACAACAATAACAACATCTGACATTTGGCATATTAAAGACAAATGTCTGGCAGTAAGTTGGCCGAGGTGTGAGGGGAGAGTAATGCTGTCTGTGAAGATCAAGGTCAACTTGGCTGGGTGGTGAGCCTTGGTGGTTTGGCAGTGATGCAATAATGTATTAATTCATCTTCTATTCTGTGATCTGATGTGGTCATCCTCCACTTTTGCATAATCACAATTTACACCTAACAACTCAATCTTCAGAACCTAACCATGCTGAGAAGTGAGAGGTGAGTGTACCTATCTGTGTCAAATTGTGGAGAGTACGTACACATGACCAGGTACTTAGCGCGCAGGAGACCTGCAGTGACAGGTTCTTATTGCCTCTCTGAGACACACAGGGTTGTATCCCCTGGGACCTGTCCACGATTCCACATCCACCCCAGCTGTACATGGTGTTCGCTGTACTAACATGGTAGTTTTCAAGTCTGGCTGCGTATCAGAAGCAGTGGGGGAGCTTTCAGAAAGGGCTAATTCAGGTTTAATTGGCCTGGGGTGGGGATGTAAAAGCCTGTTCCCATCCCAGCTGCACAATGGAGTCACCTGGGGGCTTTAGACCACAGATGCCTGGGCCCCACCCTGAGGCTCTGATGTAACTGGTCAGAGGTGGGCCTGGGCATCAGGATCCTACAGCTCCCCAGGCAATTTTAACATGCAGAAAAGGCTGAGAACCACCGAACATTCTTCAAAGCTCCAAACTTGCCAGAGGCCTTGCCTTTACTGGGGTCAGAGAGGCTTCAGACTCTTCACTGGGGAGATCAAATACGGGGAGCAAAGCCTAGTTCTATCCTGTTCAATCAAGTGCTTCCATAAAACTCCCAGTTTACTTAAATAATTCATGGCCATTTCTTTCCTTGAAGCCTCAACTACTGTGTGCCCGGAGGGGAGTGAACCAGGCTGCTCGTTAACTTTGCAAGGGACTGCAGTGGCTGTCCCCCCAGGGCACTCCCATCCCAACATAGGCCCAACTCTGAGGTCAAGGGTTGGTCTGCACCCAGTTACAGCCCAGACGTGTGGTTGTTGGGGGACTTACACTCAAGCAGATCTAGGGCTGGAGTCCCACTAGCTTCTTCATGACTTAAGTGTTGGTAGCTAAGGAACTAAACAGGGAAATTCAGCACCAAGCCCAAAGTTTAAAGGGTTCGAGGCTCTGGAGGCCTATTTCAATGCCAAGGAAAATATTACTATTCATTCCTGACCAGATGTGTGTGATCAGAGGGTTAGAGATCAATCGTCCATATAGTCAACTGCCTGTATTCATCTGTCAGTCTGATCACCCACCCACTTCCCCCTCCCTCCATCATCCATTATTCATTCATAAAATGAATATAGCACTTGCTACAAGCCCAGGCACTGTTTTAGGAGTCAGGCATACCCAGTCTACAAGCAGATAAGCCCCTGCTCCTACACAGGTCCCATTCTATCTGAAGAAGGCAGACAATAAACAAATAAGTACATGTGTATGATAATTTTAAATATTAATAAAGGTAAAGACACTACAGGATTCAAAATTGGGAAGGTATACACCAGGGATGTGTCCTATTCTCCAAATCTTTTTAATCTATATGCAGAACAGATTACCTGGGGGGCTGGACTCTATGAGGAGAAATGTGGCATCAGGATTGGAGGTAGACTCATCAACGGTCTGCATTACACAGATAACACAGCTCTGCTTGCAGAAACTGAGGAGGACCTGAAGCATTTGCTGTAGAAGGTCAGGGACTGCAGCCTTCAAGATGGATTGAAGCTCAGCATCATGAAAGCAGACTCTCACCACTGGGCTGATTGGAAGCATTGTGATAGATGGTGAGAGACTGAGACTGTTAACAGCTTCAGTTTGCTTGGCTCCACAATCAACACTCTTGGTACCAGTGGCCAGGAAGTCAAAAGATGAATTGCATTGGGAAAGTTTGCTGTCAGAAAGCTCTCTAAAGAGCGGCAATGTCAGTCTGGAGACTAAGATGTGTCTGATTCAGACCGTGGTCTTTGCAATTACTTGCTATGCAATAAAGCTGGACAATGACTAGGAATGATGGAACTGATGCCTTTGAGGTGTGAAGCTGGAGAACAGTACTGAATATACCATGGACAGCTAGAAGAACAAACAGGTTCATTCTAGAGAGGGTCAGACGACGCTGCTCCTTGAAGGTAAGGATTCTGAAGCTCCATCTGACATAATTTGGACATGTGGCAAGGAGGGACCAGTCCTTGGAGAGGGATGTCTTGCATGGGAGAATGAAGGGAGAGTGCAAGAGAGGAAGACCCTCGATGAGATGGATTGATTCAGTGGCTGGGGTAATGGAGGTATGTGTGTCAGAGACAATACGACTGGCACAGGACAGAGCAGGGGATAGGATTGTTGTACATAGGGTCGCTGAGTTGCAGGCGACTCATAACAAGAGTGAGCAAGAGGAAAAGCCTGGGGATGTGGTAAAGAAGGCCTGGGAAATGGCTAGTTGAGTGATATTTGAGCTGAGAGATGACTGATAAAGGGGATCCAGCCATTTCAGTGACATTCTTGGTACAGGGGACAGCAAGTGCAAAGATCCTGTAGCAGGAATGAGCACGTCAGACGAACAAGGCCAGTGACTAGAACCAATACAGCAGAGAGGAAAGCTAAGAGATGAGGTCTGAGTGACCTGCAAGATCCAGACCATGAGGGATTCAATGGGTAAAAGGGAAGAGTCTGGCTTATTCCAAGTGCGAAGGGAAGTCTGTGAGGGAAGGGTGATCATTTTCAGCTCCTCTGGCTGCTGCAGAGACTCAGCTACAGGGAGAAAGCAGAATGGAACCTGAAATCTAGTTCAGAGAACAGGAAGTGGTAGCTTACATAAAAATGACACAGAGTCGTTCCAACCAGCTCAATTTACTTTGTGGGGAAACTGAGGCCTGGAGCAAAGCAACATGCAGGGATCTTGCACAGCACAGGGCCTCCCTGTACCTTTTCCTTGTGGTTGTTGCTGTGTACTATCGAGCTGTAAGTGACCCACAGCTGACCCCCCAATAGGTTTCCAGAGGCAGTAAATGCACAGGAGGACACTGCCCATCCTTCTCCTGCAGAGCAGCTGGGGGATTCAAACCACGTGCCTTTGGGACTGCAGCACAGCTGCTTACCACTCAGCCACCAGAGATCCCTTAGCGGGATTCAAAAGTGTCTATGAACAGACTGCTGGGATTCTAGAATCTTCCTGCTGTCCTGGAGTCTCCCCATCTCTGGAGAGACTGAGTTCAGCCTCTTGTTCTTTACTCATCCCATTGTCCCATGAATGGGACCCTGACGGGTAGCAGGGTAATAGAGCTGGGGCTGATGTGGTAGACCAAGCTCTAGTGCTAACTCTGTGCTGTGTGGCCTTAGGCAAGTGCCTTCACCTTTCTGGGCCTTGGTTTCCATCCATGGAAACGGGTTACAGTGCTGCGAGTTCCACTGAGGGAGGCTCCTCCCAGCAGGGAGATGTTCATGACACGAATCTGGTTCACAGGACAAAGACAGAAGTGCTCGCTCGCTTGGCAGCCTTCCCTGGAAGTGACTGTGTTCTGAGCGCTGACTCGTTAAATTCAGACACCATGGTGGAGAGGGTGGATTTCCTAATCAGACTGTGAGCCCTTGGACAAATCACTTCATCTCCCTGAGTTTGGGAGGGAATGTCACCACTGTGCTAACTCAAGTGGGGAAGGGTGGGTGAGCCCTGGACCATCTGGTCCCTGCTGACCCCAGCATTCCACTAGGGAGATGGTGGCTAATGGCCAAATGCCCACCGAGAACTAAGCGTTTGTCTTACCTCCAAGGCTTCGTAGTACATATTTTTAGCCTCTATGTCTGTCTTGGCTGACATCAACCAGGATTTGATCAAATATTCATAAAAACTGTCCCCGAGTCCTCCAATCGAGACGTGGTCTGTGAGGGAAAAGAGGATGAGAGTCACCTGCTGCTGCTGTGGTGGATGCACATGGTGGTCTCGGTGCGGGGGCTGGAACGGGCACGAAATCAGCAGCCAGTGAAAGGCGAAGGGGCTGAGAGAAGATACAGCCACAACTTGCTGGGGCTGCAGGGGACACAGCCCTCGAATCCCAGGCATCCTGGGCACTATCAACCCACAGAAAGTGCGCAGGCAGTCTGTGGGCAGGATCACTTCTTATTAACTGTAAATGAGTTGCATTTCTTTAAAAAATATAATCTGGCGGCAAAGAGTTCAGATATTTTTATTACCCACTGACAAACATGGTAATTAATGCAGGGCTTGAATGACCACAGCAAGTAGGAATGGGATCTTTCATTCTGTCATCAGACACATAAGTGTTAAGGCACTTTGGAAAAACAGTTTAAATTTAGCAAATCAGGATAAATACAGTTCAAAGGAGCCAGGGGAAAGAAGAATCTGGTTTGAAGACATGCTCTCTCTCCTGGTGGCCCCCTCGCTTCCTGGGGGACTGTGGGCCAGCCTGGAGCTGTCCAGTCATCCCCGAGGCAGGGCTGGTCTGACAGGTTATGGCTGAAAGAGCCTCCAGTGAGGGTGATGTCCCAGGAGAAAGATGGTTGCCTGAGCAACACTTGAACACAGTAGCAAGACAGGGAACATACTTCTCTCACACACTTTAAAAACTGACAACAGGAAACATAAAGGCATTTAATAGCTATCACCAAGGACACCTTCACTTCTGTGTTACAATTCACTTAAGCAGCGGCTGAGCAGGGAAGGGAGGTGGGGTGTCTTAAAGGAAAGGAGGTGAGGGAGCAAAAAGAATGTTGAGAAAGAGGGAGAAGAAAGGGGATAGGGAAAGTTATCAGGGAAGAGAGAACAATTCCAACAGATAGCATTTATCACTGAAACTGTCAAGAGCTTCATCTTGCTTGGATCCACAATTAACACCCTTGGTACCAGCAGTCAGGAAATAGGAGACACACTGCACTGAGAAAATTTGCAGTTAGGGACGGCTCCAAATTATTGAGGAATAATGATGCCAGTTTGAGGACTAAGGTGCATCTGATTGATGCCATAGTCTTTCCGGTCACTTGCTATGCATCTCAGAGGAGTAAGGATGACAGAAGAACTGATGCCTTTGAGCTGGGGTGCTGAAGAACAACATGGACAGCCAGAAGAACAAATATGTCTTGGAGAGTGTGCAGCCAGAGTGCTCTTTGTAAGCAGGGATGAGTGTGAGCCTAATTAGGTTGGTCAAAGCCATCTAGATGGTAAATGGTTGATGAAGCCCATACTTTCTAGTTTTTACATGGTCAGTCAGAGGGTAAAGACAGTTGGGAACCTAGTGGGGGGCCCAGAAGCGGTTATTCACAGGAGAGCAGTCCCCCTCTACTTGAAGGGACCCAGCAAGGATTCAGGAATGGGATAAGCACTGGCACAAACTGCACAGCTCCTGATAAAGAAGGTGCTTTAGGAGGAGGGAGATGGGACAGGTGGGCTGGGCTGAGAGGGCTGTTCAGCTGCACCCTGTGATGGTGAAAGAGGAAAGAAAACCAGTACAGGGGAGAATGTGTTGGTGCCGGGTCTCTCCAGTGTTCCTTCCATCCCTTCTCCCAGTTAGAAATACAGCTTGGGAAATGCAGAGGGTCAGATATGATCACATCTGGAGCAGGAGGTCTGTGGACCTCGGAAAGCGCAGTGGGTGCACTGAAGGTCAAGCTGGGCCAGTCCCTCCTCCAAGCCTCTCCATAGCCTTCACTGCCTAGAAGGGGCCCAGCCTCCAGGGCACAGAAATGAAGGTCACTCTCCTATCGTTCTGCTTCCTCTCACTTTATACTCCAGCCACCCCAAATACTTCTGGCTCCCCACACTCCCCACCCTGTCTCTCACCTCTGTGACTTTGTACTGACCCCTCCTCACACCGCTCATGCTTCTTCACCTACTTGGGAAATCAGAATGGCTTTCCTCACTCCTGGTTACACACCCTCCACAGTGTTCACATAGCCCCGTCCACTGTCCCTCTGCTAGTGACCATGAGGATTCTGTAAAACAAGGCACATGGGACCGGTGGCCCAGCACCCCATGGGGGTGGCTCTCTACAAAAACTCATCTGCTCACTGCGGGGACCTTGCCTGGCTCTGGACGGTCTGTCTCCCCCTGCAGACTCCGGGCTCCATTGAGGGGCAGAACAGAGGTGATCCCTCTTCATGTCCAGTCATGTCCACTGTGGCCAGAACACAGAGGCTGTCCAGTAAGTGCTGAATGGAAGGTAATACTATGGCTTGGACTGGGCCTTCTTAAATGGAATCCTAACCCATTTATCCGTGGATGCAATAAGAATACGTCTTCTTTGCTATGTTAACAAGGCCATTCTAAACTTATTCACTTATCAATTAGAAAAATAACTGATTAGACTTAGTGGGGAGCATACTTTTGGTGAAGATAGATGCCATGCAAAGATTGCCAAGCAATCGATGAACGTTGCAGTCACAGACAAGGCTCTTCCTTACTGCCAACAAAGAGTCTTCCCCTGCTGCTGGTGCCCTGATTTCAGATGTCTAGCCTCCCAAACTGTGAGAAAATACATTCTGTTCTCCAAAACCACCCACCAGTGGCATTTCTGTTACGGTAGCACCGAGAAAAGTAAGCTGGGCTTGGCTGAGTTCTGTGAAGGGCTTCGACTTCCTCATGTGATCACAGAATGCTGTGTGACGCGGGCAGGAGCTTTATTAACTGGGGCGGGGGTGGGGGTGAAGGAGAGGGGAGGCAGGAGTCCCAGATGGATGTTCGAGACATGAAGCCTCAATGGAATATGTATACAGACTCCCAGGGGACATCAATGAGATCCACTTTCACTCTCTGTCCTCCCCAGCACGGCTGCACACTGGAACTGGAAGAAGCACAGGAGTGGGGATCAGAAGGTGTGGATCTACCAATTGCTCTGGACAAGCCATTGCCCCTCTGGGCCTCGGCTTCTGGTGGGTAAAATATAAGTGGAGCACTAGTTGGTGTCTAGGAGGAACCTGTGAGCAGAGATGGGCTTTGCTGGTTGCTGACCTTGTCAGCCTCGAGTCACACGTGAGAGCAGGAGGCTGGGCTACGAGTCTGGCAATCAGCTGGCTGGAAAGCCGGTGGAGTGGGGAGAAGCAGGCTGAGCCGCTGGGCATCTCACATGCCCCTGCCTGCCAGTGACAATCTGGACCCGCCATGTTCCTCCCTCTCACTAAAGTGTGGATCCAGGCCATGGGCATGAGAATGGATCTCTGCGGAGGCCACCTGGGGGGCCTGGTGACCCTCTCGGCTGTGCCCTGAGCTCTAGGTGGCTCTGCCAGGGTTGGTCTCATGCATGTGAGGGCACTACCGGAGCCTGCTGGCTCTATTCTGGCTGCTGGGAGGGTCTCAGCTCAGATACAAGGAGGAAGGGGGAGAAAGCAAGGGCAGAGGTCTAGATATCAAGAGGCAACCCCCTTTCTCTTGCATTTTCCATAGCCTGCAAATGGTTTAAATAGACCTTGCCTGTCCTATCTACAGGCTTATTCTGAAGACTCAAGGAGAGAGAGAGAGAGAGAGAGAGAGAGAGAGAGAAGTGACTGTATTTAGCTTATGCAAGAGGTAATGTTATCTATAATCTGCTAAAAAATGCACATACATCCAAATAAACAAAACACAACACCACACGTCCACAAATCCACAGACATCCTGAGGCGCTAAAGTCTGCAGGCCGGCCCCAGATGAGCAGGGTCTTCTCACCTCCCTCTGCTCTGGAGCAGGCTGCAGATTCATATTTTATTAATACGAAGCAATTTTCCATATGTGACCGACTTTGCCCAGACTTGCATCCCCGGGCGCAGCCTGAAAAAGAAAATGATGCTTCCCAGCAGGGGCTCCCCTGTAATTTGCCAAGGTAACAGTTGAGGCTGGGAAGCCACACCCCTGTTGCTTCTCTTTATGGGTTTTACTGCATCGTCCTCAAGCATCTAAGGCCAGTGACGCAGTCTGTCTCTTTACCCAGTCAGGCCTCGCAATTAAAAGTCGTAACGGTGATTGAACTGTCTTCCCAATGGCCATAATCTGTGATTCAAACCTCCCCTTCCTCCTCGCACTTCTGGAATTGGCAGTGCGTTTTGGTTAAAAATACTTTGCATTTCCATAAGTGGCTTTTGCAGGAGGCTGCTTGGGAATGAGGTCATCACTGGGGAAAAGGACGAGGTCGTCTTTTCTGGGCTTCCTGGGTCTGCAAGATGATGGATGACTGGGAGGGGCCTCTGTGGTCCCCGTGATACCTCCGCGGCCTCCAGGCCCTGCCTGCACAATTCCTCACTCTTTGCTGGAACAAACCACACCCACTTTGGAAACCTGGGTTGCAACCTGCTTCCTGTAGCTCTGGACCATTACTTGTACATCCCCTCCAGGCACCCGGAGATCACATGCCTCTCTCTTCCTCAGGGAGCCTTCTGAGACTTCTTCAAATAATGTCACACAGCAGGACCACACCTAGCACTGCTTCGGGCCTTTCTACCTCTTGGAGTTGAGGAGGAAGGGTTTCCACCTTGTTGACTGATAAATTAATGAACTTATTTTTATTTCTTGTCAGGTACTCTTTGGCCCTGAGGACATGTTACTGTGTACCATCAGTTGGAACTGACTTACAGCTGACCCTCTGTCGGGTTTTCAGAGGCTGTTAATCGCAAGGGAGGAGACTGCCCATCCTTCTCCTGCGGAGCAGCTGGTGGATTTGAACCGTGTGCCTTCTGGACTGCAGCACAGGTTCTTGCCACAAGGCCACCAGAGCTCCTATTTTTATTTCTGGTTAGATAGTATTCAGTCCTGAGGACACAGCAGGACACAAAACAGGCCATGGGCCTGGATCTGAGGAGCTGTCAGGTGGATGGGAAATCATTGTTCTCTCTTAGGTGCTGGGGTTGTTCTTCATGCACTCGTCAGGCCTGTGCTGTGTGCACGCCCGCCAGAGGGC